GCCAGGCAGGTCGCAGCTAAGGCTACCACGGGCCTCCGGTTTCCCCCAACTTAGATGGCAGGGCCTGCCATGAGTTGTGAGGTGTCAGGGAGAGGAGTGGTCATGATTCCTCGAGGATAAATCTTCGCAGGAGAACCCCAAAATAGCCCGTGGAGACTCGCTGTCAGGATTGTTAGGTGTGTTGGGAGTAGCGGCCATTTACACTCTTAAAACAGGTTGGTTACATGGGCTAAAGACAGTTATGCAATTAACATCACCTAAGTTAGAGAAGTGGGAATAACAAAGGGATGAGGCAGGAAGAGTCAGGCCTGTGAATAGTAAGTGCTCACTGCAGACGGAGTGGCCTCCCAGGTTTGTTACCAGCTCAGTGCAGAGCAGAAAGTCACCCAGTCGCCTCAGGATGCCGTCACTTACCGGAACCCTTTTTTAGGTGAAAGGCATGTTGTGAAGAACCAGCCGTTAGTTAGCGCCCGGCCACACTGAGATCTTTTTTAATTTGATTTTTCAATCCAGGATTTTTATTGATTTGTGCAAGGCCCTAAGCAATGGAAAGGACTAGCACACCGTGGTCCTTGAGTCAGATAGGAACTGACAGACCAGCAGACAGAGGCGGGAGGGAGGCTGGGCCTTGGGCGGAAGGCACGGGGAGCCTCGCAGGGGCAGGGGCAGGACGCAGGGCCGGTTGGGAAGAGCATGCCTGGAAATCAAGAGCACGAGGAACAAAAACCCACTGGATACAAGGCGGGGCTGTGCTCGAGGAAGGACAGATGTCAGGCAGCTCAGGGATGGGCTTCAGCCTGGGGCTCTGAGGAGCAGCCTGCAGACGTACTGACAGCGCGAGCGCGGGATTGCACAGATGATGGATTACAAAACACGACGGGGCCGGGTAAACAGCTGGGGGTCAGGAAGGCGGAAGCCCAGTAAGATGCCACAGGTTCAGGGAAGGTCTGAGACATGGGCGCAGGAAGTATGACCGGGCCACCTGAGGAAGCGGGCAGTTCCCTTACAAGCAGCTCTAGGAGTGGCTTGATTGAGTGTTGGGGGGAGGGATATGTTCTTGGGGTCGGCCTGGCCACTCAGCAAAAGCCTGCCTGCTGTGTCCCCTGACTGTCCTGTGCTTGGAAATTCTCAGTAACCCAGCAGAAGCAGTCTTGTCACTTCAGATGCTTAAAGAAGGTGAGGCGGGTGCAGAAGAGGAGATTAATAGTTGCTCTTAGGTGATTCTCTCATTTACCTTGTAGCTCAGGTCAGAGCCGTGGCCCAGATAGTTTTTAAATCTCCATAAAAGGCCCTCCCATCTGGCTGCTGACAGGTAAGCACCTCCAGATGGGCCCAAAGAGGGAGATTTGCTATGAAAGGAGGAGAGGGAGGAAGGAGAGGAGAAACGAGGAGAGAGGGGGTAACACGGGGTGGCATGGCGGGGACAGCACAGGGCCTGAGGTCTAAGGAGAGAAACAGCTCCCTGTACGAGAACACGGCCTCCGCCAAAATGAGGCGAGCGGGCCAGAAGATGCATGCCTCACTTAGTCTCAATATCAGAGTTTGAAATGTGAAATTTGAAACAGTGGTAGATAAATGAATTGAAGTGGGAATATGGAAAAATAGTGATGCAGGAAGGTAAGCACAGAATTTATATTTTAAATATAATTTCACAGTTGACATTACATTTGTCTTCTCTGCGAACTTGATTCTAGACGGGTGTGTGTGTGCGTGTGTGTACACATGTGTGCACAGCACGTGTGCATGTTCATGCTCAAGCTGTGGGACGTGTAAGCTCCTAGAGGAAGGAGGGGCAGCCCCTCGTCCCCCCAGCTCTCTGCTGCAGCTGTACCTCCTGAGCCCCTGCAGTCTCCTCTGCCTGGTCCTCCCTCAGGGGGAGTGGCAGGCGTCCCCCAGCCCTGCCCTGTGTCCTGCCCACTCCCAGGGTACCAGTGCCTTATCCCCTGCAGATGGGCCTTATCCAGGATTGGACTCACCCAACGTGGACAGATCAAAAGTTCAGTGGCTCCTCTCCAGCCATCAGGCCCCTGGGAAGGAAAGGGTGTCCCCTACCCAAGGGAGCACGAGGGTTGCAATTCTCCTGGGAGCACTGGGTGGCCAGGGGAGGGCCCACAGTGTGCTCTGCCCTCCAGGGCTTGAGCGCAGCCATGCCCTTGTGCCCCATAGCCTACCTTTCATGGCTGCCCACACAGGCTGCAGGCATCGGGGCACCTACCAGCCCTTTCCGGGCATATCACCACACACGAGTTCCTCACTTACAGTTTAGCCTCAGCATTTGCAAGTTCAGTGACAGCCTTACCAGTTGAATCATCGTACTTACCTAGGGCCTCTGGCTGGTGTAGAAGCCTGGAGACTAAAGGCAGAAAGCCTGGGGCTAAGGCCGCACCGTGTGGAGAGCCTGGGCCCTACCAGCTGTTTGTCCAGGATGCTCTGTTCTAGCAGCTTGGTCTTCTGCCCCCTGGTCCCCCGGCCCCAGTCTCTGGTGGCCACCTGGCTGCCCCAGCCTCAGTTCCTGTCACATCGTTGGCCCAGCACACAAATTGCTTTAAGAGTCTGTGGGGCCACCAGGACCCTCAAGAGTTGGATCTCACCCTTAAATCCCATTCTGCTGAGGCCTCCTCGTCTGCTCCATGCTGCGACCCTCACTGAGCTTAGCCTCTGCCTCTTGCTGGGATCCATCACTGCCAGGCCCCTGCTCATGCCCCTCGGCCTCCCCCGTGAGCCTGTGCCAACTCATCTCAGCCTGAAGGCTGGAACCTGTCGGGTTGACCCCACTGCTCTAACCAAGGTCAGCCTGATTTTCTCTTTAAATACCTCGCGCACATCCTCGTGGCCTCTGGGGCCTCCTGCTTAGACCTCTCCCCAACAGTTGGAGAAGACGCTGTTGGCCCAAGCTGATCTCCCTCCCGCAGTGCCCTCCGTCTCCAGGCCCCCTGCCCCAGATGCATCTTCCCACAAGTCCCAGTACCGTGTCACCAGCGCACACACTCCTGAGGCCAGCATCTTTGTTGTTGGGGCTGATGTACTGGCTGGGCCCCGTGGGAAGCAGCCAGTCAGTGTTTATGGGGTGAGCGATGGATCCTGGGGGTTCCTTCTCCAAAGCCTTCACCTGCCCCACCGCTGACGTCCCATTGTCCCCACGGTTTGCCGCTGATCTGCTCAGACACCACGGGGTTCATCACTCTGTGGCGTCTTCACCGGTGTTGCTCCCCTTGCCTGGGACACTTGTGACCACGCCGTGCCCCCTCCTGCCCTCCAGGTCCTGCCTGTTAACTGGAGAATTCTATCGAGAGCTTAGGGTTTTCTCAGTGCAGCAGTGGCCTTCTCACATTTTGTTTGCATATCGCCTAAAAGCGCTTTGGAAAAAAATGTAATCCTTTGACAGCTTGAGAAGTAAAATATGTCTTAAGTTTAAATAAAATTATTTTTGTTAATATGAGATAGAAAAAATAAACAAGATAGAAGATGAGGACTAATTATTAGGAATAAATATCTGATAACATGATTTGCTCAATTGACTAAGACATACCAATGTGAAAGCAATCGTGGAAGCCTTACATCCATGGGCTTTAGCTTTTGCCAGTGTGTCTTGAAAATGTTTTCATAAGTCTGGAAAAATTCCAGTTCCTGTTTTAAACAATTACATAAGTCATGAATATACCTCAGTTCTGAATTCAGAACATCTCACTCAGGCCAAGTGTCACCCTCACAGGGACACTTGCATCGGGGCCTGTGACTCACCGGAGGCTCATGGGGAGGGGGGCCTGTGCCCCGTGCGGCACCCCCAGCCAGAGCTGGGGGCGCTGTGCTTTCCTTCTGGGAGGCGGGAACGGTGTTGTGAATTCAGTCACGTTCTCAGGCAGTTTTGGAAAATACAGAATTTGAGGGTCTGGAAATTGATTTCCTCCAAGCTGCCAGCACGCTCCTTGGAAAGCAGATCTGAGAGTACCCCAGACTGAAGACCACACTGCAGAGAGTGGTTCCTCCCCTAGAACTCAGGACAGGAACCCCAGAGACAGCAGGCACCCCAGTGGAGAGAGGACTTTCCATGGGGGGGGGGGAATGTGTGGGTCAGTACCCCCAAAGGCCCCGCCTCTGAGAGACTTCCTTAGGCTCCCCTCCTCCCTGACCCCTGCAGCTCACGTCCAGCGGTGACCTGCTGTGTACCATGTGTGTCAGGCTCACACCCCTTCCCCCAACCATGCTGTATATTCTCAAGGTCAGGGCCATGGCTCGCCGTTGTTGGCTGAGCGCTGTGCTGTGCGGTGCCCTGTCTGCAAGGTAGCTGGCCCAGCACTGAGCAAGGGGCTCAAAAATGCTTCCACAGTGACTTGCTGTCGGGGAGGTAACCTTTTCCTGGTTCCTGGAGGGTGGCTAGCTGCTCCTCATGAGGGCCTTTGTTCCAGGTTGGCCGAGGCCTCATCTGGAAGAAGTCCCTTCCCCCACTCTGCAGCCAGCGTATAATCATGCATGGATAGCAGGGCTTGTTTGCACCTTTGGAGATAAGCCGGGTTCTCCCTGGGATAACGCCTGCTGGCTTTTTTCAAAGTAACAGTTTTATTGAGATACTCACATACCATCGAACTCACCCACTTAAAGTGTACAGTTCAGTGGTTTTTAGCATCTTCACAGAGTTGTACAACCATCACCACTGTCAGCTCAGCCCCTGTTGACTTTTAACCCAACTGCTAAGTGCAAGAATTAATTAGTTCATTAATTTACAAAGAAGAGCTCCTGAGACAATAGAGTAATTCAGTGAGAACATTTTGTAGGAATCCACGGTGGAGCTGCCTGCAACCTTCTATCCTGACTGATTGAAATGTGTTTACAACCTGCTAGTTGCTGCCAGGTGTCTATGCCAGGGGCAGGGGAACGGGAAGGACTTCCTCTAATGCCCATGTGGCAGCCCCCCAGAGCTGGCAGCACAGTGTCCCAGCCGGTGGCAGCTCCGGGCGGGACATCAACCTGTCCCTCACGGGCTCTTTGCCTCCTCTCCCCAGGTGTTCCACTGTGTCCACTTTGAGTGTCCGGAGCAGCAGAGCAGCCAGAAGGAGGAAAACAGCGAGGAATCGGGGCCAGGGGACAGCAGCGCGGCCAGCCAGCAGCTCGACCCCCATGCCCTGCAGGCCCCCAGCGCCAGTTCACTGCCCTCCAGCCCGGGCCCCAACGCTCGCTCATCCAACCGGCAGCTCCAATAAAGGAGGCATGACATGGAGTGACTTGGTGGGCCCAGATGGCAGCAAAACTGGTGTTCCCCCCACCCCCACCCCCGCCCCAGAGAGGAGCAGACCTGGCTGCAGGAACAGACACAGAACAGGTTTCTCCCAAGGGCAGGAAGAGGCCGCCTTGTTCTCCTCAATTTGTCCAAATCAGACTGGTCTCCAGGGGGAGAAAATGGGTCTTCAATCTTCATCAAGTCCCCCATTACCACCCTACCTCTCTAATCTAATCCAGGCCAGGGAACAGAAGGAAGTAATAGACAGGCCCGTGTCGGAATACAAAACTGGCTGTGAACACTCGAGTGGAAGAGAATATATGAGGCTTTTATTTCCTGGAGGCACCCTTTTAGGAAGTGGGTTTCTGTAGTGTGTACTTTTATGGAACACATCGCCCTGGCAACTAATTTTTATTTCTTTTAGTTTTTCTCCATTTGCTGAATCATAGGTGTTCCAGATTTTTTTGAAATGCTCAGACAGCAAATCACTTGTTTGAATCCCTTTGATGCTGTAATTTTCCTTCCTTGGTTTTGAATGGTTAAGTCGGGGGTAGAACCGAGAAACATCATGTGCTCTCCTACACAAGGCCCTGATGCGGCTCAGCGTGACCCCTGGGCTGACACGGAAACCCTTTGAGGAAGTTCAACAAAATACACAATGAGCAAATCAACCCATGGACGCCGGAGTGGATAATCACTCAAACTGCTGGGTCATTAACCTGTCATTTCTGAAATGTACCCAGCCTTCAAGCCTAGGAGGCTGACAAGGAAATCGTTATTAGCCACCTGCTAATTTAATGTTCAGAAGCACGTGTGTGTAAGTCTGTACCAACTTCCGGTTGGGTTGGCCCTGTCCTCCAATCGCCACACTTTGGCCACATCCGGCCGGCGGCCCTCCTGGCAGCCGGCGCCCTGCAGTCCTTCTTTTCAGCCAGGTGTGCTGTTTGTTCCCCAGACCACAACGCTCGACCAGGATTGAAGAAAAGAAGCAGCTCCAAGATGCTTTCCTCCGCGTCCTCACTGAAACAGCCTCAGTCTCTCCTAGTTTCGTCTGCTACTGTGTGTCTTCCTTAGTACTCTCCATTCCGTGGAGAGCTGTGAACTCCACCCGACTGGGGTCTGCTGCTGGCCTGTCTGCAGAGTTCTCCCAGGGCTGGCTGTCCCTGTCAGCTCCACCCGCAAGGTCCTCGGTACCACCTAGGACCCCGCCTATGAGGGGGGGGGGCGCTGACGGGGCTCCCTTCTGGCGTCTGCAGGACACATTGGCTGTGGGTGTGCAAAGAGCAATGGGTCGATGACCTGTTTTCTCCTAGTCGAACTCAGTTCTGCGTGACTGGTGGGGACTACACAAGTAGCAGCACCAACTGCAGTGTTCTGGGGGAAGGCTGGCTGGCTGGCTGCTTGCTGTGTGAGCAGACCTGGAGGAGCCGCTGGACCGGCAGCTCTCCCTCCCACCCAGGGCCCCATGGCCCCCTCTGATCTGTCCACTTCCCCTGTGTGGGGTGAGCGGAACCCCTGAGGGGCGCCCTGTGCTTGGTAATGGGAGGGAGCAGGCTTCTGTGACCAGCCGCGCCACCACCTGCTTGCAGTGGGGACCGCCCTCTGGGCTTGGCCTCCGCCTGCCTCGGTCAGCACCTGCACGCGGCGAGGGACACGGGCAGCCAGACAAGGAAGAGCGAAGGCCTAGTGGGAGTGTTTTGAAAGTGGCATCTGTTGACGAGCTTCTTTTTAAACTCCGAAGTCACCTGTCCAGAGGGGAGCCCCGGGCCCAGAGGCCGCACTGAGGACCCAGGGATTGGGGGGTGGAGGTGGGGGCGCTAATGAAGGATCTGGAAGAGATGACTGACGCTCTGTCTCCAGACCTGTCAGTGCCACTGCCAGCAGCACACCTGGCCATCCCAGGCCCAGGTAACTCAGCTTCACACCTGAAGGGGCGCAGATGAGACTGTGTGCGAAGCTTCAGCACTAGACCCACACAGTGTCCTTCCCGCCAGAGCTCGTCTCCTCCCTCCTGCCTCCTAGGACTTTCCTTTGGTGCTTGCACCTGCCAGGTACTTGCCCTCGGTCTGTCTTGAGAGAAGAGAGCTTGGCCCCCCTCTCCTCCAGCACTTCAGATGCTCATATTATTAGATGAAGGGAAGGGAGGAGAAACCGAGGCAGTGCTGACGACACGGGAGCAGGGAGGCCTGGGGCGGCTCTGGCCCGCGGTACCGCCTCCATCCTCCCTCAGGCCTGGCAAAGCCTGCTCTGGTCGGCCTCCCGGTACCAGGCTGGGGCGCTCCCTTCCTCATGGGCCTTCTGATTCGGGGAGCATGAGGGGCTCTGTCTGTTTGCTGGGATGGGCCATGGCCTTCCTGAGGGGGCCAGAGACCCCACTCCACGTGTGTCGAACAAGACACGCCCAGACCAAGGCCTGGATCGCCAGGGAAGGAGGGGTGAGTGGGCAGCCGGGCGAAGCTCACAGAAGACTGGCGTTCTCTAGAGCCCTGGCTGTTCCCGTGGGGACTTCTCCCTGCGGCCAGCTCAACCCAAATGACCTGAATACTTGAAGAGACTAAGGTAGCTAACGGACATGTGAGTGAGAAGATGGCTGGCATGCAGATGGAAGGATTCCCGGACACCCGCGGAGTGAGCCCAGCAGAGGGCAGAGCTGGTTCTGTGTGCTGGCAGCCGTGGGGTTTGAGCAGGAGACTCGGCCAAGCCCTGGGCAGGGCAGGGCTGGTGAGGGGTGAGGCTGGACCCTGGGCAGAGGTGGACAGAGCGGTGCTTGTGACTTCTGGCCCTTTATTGTGACGCTTGTCAGTTACCAGCTAAAATGACAACTTTGTAAGCACCACCCAGGTCAAGAAATAGAACACTGCCAGAGCCCCCTGCCCTTCATTTAAAAAATCATGAAATGTTTTTTGAAGAGTAAAAAGCAAACTTCATGAGAGCTTCTGGGTCAGCTTCTGGCAGCTCCTGGGACAACCGCTGAGTGGCACTGAGCACGCCAGGTGGGCACGTGCAGAATGGGCTGGCAGCCCGTCAAAGCAGCCTTCAAGGCAGGGTTGCCGCTGACGAGCCAGGTGTAACAGTGTAACACGCGTGCACACATACACACACACAGCTACCCTCACAATCCCCGCACAGCCACCCCCACGCACAGCCACCCACATGCACAAACACACAGTCTCAGTGCTTTTTCAGTTTTCTTCTGATTTTAGTTAGCAACATGAGCCCATGATGGATGTGGGACTCTTTTCAATTGCTCTTTAAATTGTTGGTTTTTAAATCTTATTTAATGACAAATACATTAAAAGTATTTTATTCCTAGAAGAGTTGGGGAAAAAAAATTATTTTCAGCAACAGTGGGATGTGTTTGTTAGACCGATTCCTTGGCAAAAAAGAAAAAAAGAAGAAATGGAATGAGTTTTGAATTGTGCAAAAAATTGCTCAACAGTTATGTTGTTGCCCCAATTGTCAAACTGCTGTGCAAACGGCTCCGACCCCGCCAAGCTTCACCTTTTTTTTAATTTAGAAGATAACAAAATTGTAATCACTTATCCTTTCCAGAGACACAAGGAAAAAGGAAGGTATAATCTGTACTAAAAAGCAGAGCATCCTGTGTGCTGAAGTCACTTGGTGATAAAGGGGGAGCATTCCCCATTTCAGGCTTCAATTAAGATCCTCCCTTTGGACAGAGAAGAAAGGTGTCAAAGGGGAAAAGAAAAACTTGTCTTCTTCCACTTTTTTCTCGTTATAAAGTGTTTGCTTTTCGGTGTTTTCCGTTTAATGCTGCCTTGTGTGGGGGTGGCCGGTCCCCTGGAAGCAGCTACCGGGGTGGTGGGGGCACAGCGGCCGGCCGGGCTGAGGCTGCAGCAGGCACAGGCCACGCTCCGTTTATTTTTGCGACCGCAGCCATCAATTCTGCGTGTTTGTCCTGACACCAGTTCCAGCAGGAGTCCAGTGCTCATTAGTGGCCCTAGGAATTTAAAATGCAGTTTGTGGTCCTGTACCACCATGGTTTTTATTATTATAATATTAAATTAGAAGTCCTCTGGTGCCTGGTGTTTGCTCAGGGGTTTCTGGAAGAGGGGAAAGGAATGGTTGGGAGCAGGCTGGGCAACTCCTCCTCTAAGTGACCGGCCGGCCGTACCTGGGTACTGAGGCCCTGCTGTGACAGAATGAAGGGTGTGGCTGGCGGGCTGACCAGCGTCCCCTGTGCTGCACCCAGGCTCCCTTCAAGGCTGTTGGGAGGAGAAGACGTGATCCTGCTGGTTTCCATCAGGCTGGCTGGAGCGGCCGTGCACGTTCTCCTGGCCGTGACCCCACGTCTGCAAACTAGGGAGCTGTGCAGGTGACCGCGAACTCCCCCACCAAACACCCCCCACGCCCCTCAGGCAGGACTTTGGATGGAACTAACGTGGGCTGGGACCTGTCTCCATGGCTGGATGGGGAGCCAGAGGAGCCCCCCAACACACGTGTGTTCGAAAATAGCTGGTCTAGCTCTTTTTAAATCACTCATTTAAGATAATTATTAAAGTACCAATGCTCGTGGACTAACATTCCAGCCCAGCAGAAGGGGTGCGGTGCCCTCGCCCTGCTCCTTGTCCTGGGCCTGGCCTTGCACTCCGTCTGTGACTGACTCCCCGACAAGCCAGACTGAGGGGCCTCCCACCCCATTGGCTGAGTTTGTTGTTTTTTCAGAACTGAACTACTCCCCCAGAGGCCCGCGGCCCAGAGACGCACAATCATCCACCTGTAATTTGTGATTAATGTCTCCAGCATTTACCATTTGCATCTGAGTATTTATAGCCCTGAGCAGGGAGGGCGAAGAGGAGGCTACACCTGTCTCCACTGTCGTTTCCTGCTCCACGGCGGCTGGGACAGCGGAAGAATGCCACCTTCCAGAGCCGGCGGACAGCGGCTCCATCCTACCTGCAGGGCGGCCCAGGCAGAGGCCTGGCCCCGGCGCAGAGTGGCAGCGCTGCCCAGAGAGGAAGGTTCGGAGGAGTGGGCAGCAAATCTCAGGCCTCGGGGGGATCTGGGCCCATGAACGCCCTGGGAACAATGTGACATTGACTATTGTGGTCTGTCCATCTGCCACCATATAGTCTCCTGCTGCCCTGTGAGTCCCAGGGTTCGTGGCCCAAGACTGAGCGCTCCTGAGTAGCTGGGCTGGATCAGCCTGTCCAAGGTCACCAGGCCCGTCCCAGGGGCATGGACTCGATTTGCCACCTGGGTGCTGGCAGAGGGCTGGGTCCCTGATGGCTGCCCATCGCTCCAGCTTCCCAGGTTTACTCCCAGTCCACCTGTACAAGCCCCTGGGGTCTGAGGCTCTGTGTGGGGGCTGGGGCAGTGCCCCAACTCCAGCTTCTAAGGAGGTGACCCTCACAGACCTGCCCCAGGCAATAAGGTCTTCCTGGTCCGCCCATTCAGCAGCCTCACCGTCGATGGAGCAGGGCACTGGGTGAGCTCTGAGCCACTCACAGAAGAGGACAGCAGGGGGCGCAGTGAGTGCGGGCTGACGGGGGAGGGGGGGGACCTGGCCTCTCCCAGCCTCCCTCCCCCAGGGCGCAGCTCAGCTCTCAGAGCTCCCTTCCACAAGTGACCTGAGAGGCAGCGCTGCTCCAAGGAGCAGCCAGGAGTCTCCCAGTCCTGCTACCCTGAGCGCCAAGGTCCCAAGGCCACCCCCGGCCCCAGCATCTGGAAAAGCGCGGAGTGAGACCGAAGGCCCAGCTTCTGGCTGGGAACGTGGAGATGGGTGACAGGAGTGCCTCAGGGTGGGCAGCTTGGCCCGTGACCTGCTCTTGCCAAACGGTGTATCCTGAATTCACCAGAGAACGCGACCTCTGCGTTTGGGGTCTCTAGGTGCTGCCCCACTGCCCTTCCTGGGCCTCTGAGATGTAGGAGGGTGGGGACCATGTTGGGCCTGGGGTGAGGATGGCTCTTCTAAGCCATTTGTAAAGAAGGACTGTAGGAGCTTGTCCAAAATTCTAAAGAAGCATAAAGGGCAGTGTTGCTGTTTGGAACATGTATTAATTGGTGGGCAGGTTGCGGCTTCTTCCTCATTTTGTGGAACAACCTAAGTGAGCAAATGTGCAAATTGTGTGTGTTCAGAACAACCCCTGAGACTGCTGCTATGGGTTTCCTCTTAGAAATAAAGTGATTACTTTCTGTTCTATCTGTATTCGTGTCGTCCCTCTCTCCGCAGCCCATCTGCAACCTCCTCCCTGGGAAGGGCTCACAGGGGGCCAGGCCAGGGGCAGCCTTTCTGCTCATCCCCTCCTGTGGGCACTGGCTACCCATCCCCCCTCCAGCCCCAGGGCACCAATGGGGTGCCTACCTGCCTCCTTGCTCTCTCCGCCTCTGGGCGGGGTGGCCGGCAGCAGCCGAGCAAGCGCTGTCACCTTAAGTCCCCACACAGCACTCTGAAGTGGGCCAGGTGTCACATGTACCTGTGTGGACAGCAAGGTGGAGGGCGGACCTGTTCTAGGACAGAAAGAGGAATGCACCTCACCCAGGGACCACAGCTCAGGGCAGAGTCCCTTAGAGCTGCCGTCCAGGCTCCGGAGCACTGCAGACCTCCCTCTCACACCCTCTGCACTGGAGGTGGCTTATTTGATGGCTTTTTTTTTTTTTTAAGATTTTATTGGGGAATTGGGAGAGGGAACAGTGTTGGGGAATCAGGGAAGGAGAACAGACAAGTTTCTGTCCTTTTGTTCTTCAGTCTGGCTGTAGAGGATGTCGCTTCACTGGCCCATGTTGGTATTATCATTGCACTCTTCCCGGGTGAGGCAGATCGGTCACTCGCCATTGGACGGTGGCTCTTGGCAGCTCACACTGACTGCTGGCCACTCACAGTAGCTTATGGCAGCCCACTGCAGCCCCTCTGCAGCCTACACCATTGCAGGCGACTCATGGCAGCCCAGCTCCAGGTCGAGCTATTGCTCACCATCTTAGCTGTAGAGGGCGCAGTGTCACTGGCCCATGTGGGATCCGAACCGGCAACCTTGCTGCTCAGAGCTGGCGCTCCCAAGCCAACTCTTAATTAACGAGCCACTCGGCCGGCCCCGATGGCATTTTTTGGTGGGAAGAAAATTCCAGCACCATGAACCCAGGTCTGCTTCCCTTGTCATTTCTCCTGCTCTGAGTTCCACCCCAGCTACCATGTGTTTCTTTCTTCTTCTATATGACCAGTTCACAAGTCCAGGCTATGGGGGTCCCACCCCCCCAGCTTTCTCTTATACAGCATTCTCTCCTTTGTCCGTGGCCCCAGCATGACATGATGGCCACAGCTGTGCATGAATCTCCAGCGCTGAGGTTCATGTAGGGTCCATGACGTGACACACTGACACAGGCAGGCACTTGGCCACCTCAGATCTCGGCCTACTGAGCTCTTGTCACTTAGAACAGCTTCAGTCAGGCAGGTGTTACCCTTCAGTGTCGTTTCTTTTCTGAACCTAAACCCAGGACGTGACGTTTCTCTTCGTTAACTTCCATCTGGTGGTTTTGGCCTAGCAGTGGGGCCTGATGTCAAGGGCATTTCGAAACTTGACGTAGGCATCTTCACATGTGCTTACCCACCGACCTTTGATCGGCCAGAACTGATAATGTTTTCAACAGTTTGTTGATGTAAGTGTCCAACGAGACAAAAGCAAATCCGGAGGGCGCCGGGCTTGGCCATGCCTCCCCCTCCCACCCCACCCCCCACCCCGTGGGCCCCTCGAGCTGCAGCCACCGCCTGGCCCACCACGCCGTCATCCAGCACAGTCAGCTGAGCACCTGCCCGGCCATTCCCTAAGTGCTGGGGACATAGCAATGATCCAAGTGGACAAAACAGACTAAGGTCCTGCCTTCGTGGCTCTTACATTCCAGAGACAGGCGACAGACAACACACACACGTAAATGTGGCCCACACCCCATGTGCTCACGTGGAGGTGAGGACTAGAAGCCGGTGTGCAGGTAGAAATCGGACGTCCAGAGAAGCTTTCCAGGTGACAGCTGGGCACCCTGAGGGTAAAGGACAGAGACTCAAGGCCCCACAGGGAGCCCTTCCCGGGAGAAGGGAAGGCCCGTCTGTGCAGCGGGGCTGGCGAGGGGCAGGTGGGGGACAAGGTGAGTGGGGCAGGCCGTGCGCGGGGTGACCGTGGACTGTTAGGGAAGGCATGGGAGCCAGTGGAAGGTTCTAGGCAGGTTGGCTGTGACCTGACTCACCCTCTTAGCAGGCTCACTCAGGCTTCCTGTAGGGTAAAGAGGGGGAAGTGGGGAGCAGTAGGGGTGTGGGGGCTGTTGCAGCAATCTAGGGAGAAACGGTGGCACCTGGACCAGGTGAGCACGAAGGTGGCGCTGTTGTGCAGGTAGGGCGGACGGGATTTGTGGATGGGGCGGTGAGAAGAAAAACCGAGTCAGGGTGGGTGGACTCCAGGTGTCACCAGGATGGGAGCAGCTGGCCTGGGGCAGGTCAGTTCCAGACACACTGGTTTGTCAAACAGAGAGAAGGCCAGGGAGCCAGACCTCAGAAGGGCCAGCTCACCAAGCGCGAAACCCAACAAGTATTTAAAGAAAAAAAACACAAACTTTACAAGTGGTCAGGTTCATACTAGCCTGTCTGTGATGAAAAAAGGGTGACTTCTAGTTTGTCCTAGCCCCAGAGGTCACGCTGTATCTTGGCACATCAGCTGAGCAAAAGTTGGGGATAAAAGTGCCTTCACACAGGGCGTCTCCGTGGAAAATACTCAAGCGTTTATTATATGCGAACCAGGATGAGTCAGGTTGTCCCTGTTCATTTCAGTTTGGCTCAGGGTGTAAATTGGGTTTCTGCTTTTTTCTGAGAATGGCGTGGAAAGTGCTGTCGCCATCCCAGCGGGGCAGAGCATGTTTTTGTTTCTACAAGTTGGAGATGAGGACCAGCCAGCAGTCCTCAGACTCCGCCTTGCATAAGAATCACCTGGGAACTTGATGAAATGCCGCGTACACGCCTGGCCGTACAGGCTGACTGGGGGGGCTGCAGGCTCAAGGGCTGACCAGACATGTGAGCAGCTGGGACCTCAGCCGGGAACAGAGGGCCAAGGTCTGGGCCCGGGGAAGAGCTGGGTTTACCAGTGTTTATGGAGCTGGGAGGAAAGCGGTAAGCAGGGAGTCAGGCACCAGGCTGAGCCCTGGTGCCTCCAGCGGGTAGAGCCTGGGAGGTGGGAAGGGACAGCTATGGCGGCTGAGAGACCAGACAGCATGTGCCTGGACAGCTGGTGGTGACAGCCCAGAGGGAGAGCAGGTCGGGTGTCACATGCACTGAGGGCTCAGGACCGACTACAGATTCAGGACGCACCTGGTTCTGGTTTTCTGGAATTGACCACCTTTGGGACAGTCCCTGAGGCTGGTCGTGAGCCCACCTGGGATCCACACTTTCCTGTCTCAAATGTTTACAATCCTGCTGACACATCGTTCTTTCATTTTGCCGGAGGGTTGGAGTTGGGCTGTAAGAACAGCCTTCTCTGCCTCCAAGAGTCTTAGCATTTCCTCCACTGACAAGATTCCCATCACTGACCATGGTGGAATCTTGCAATGTCTGCACCCAAGATAGGATATACTCGCCCAGGACTTGGAAGGATGAACTCTTCAGAAGTGGCTACACATTTCACTGTCCCTTCCCCTGTCTGGGACTGCAAAGCTTCCAGTATATTCCACTTGTTTCATCTATTTAAAATTTAAAGATCTAAAGCCTTGGACTTTGAATTCAAGATGGCAGACTGCTAGTTAGGAGGGCAATTTTTGCAGTCTTGTCTAAATTGTAACGTGCAAATGAGGTACAATGAGCATACACTGTTGCCTTCCCCTCCCTCTAACTCACAAGCAATGACCAAAAATATATCATTTGGGGGAGATAGGGAGGACCAGAATCAAAAATAAGGTGGGGATGGCAGAAACTCAGGAAATGGTGAAAGGTAAGCAGTAGAAGGGATTGCCTAAAACCATGGTGGGCTTGATTTGATATTTACACATAGAACACAATATACAACAAACGGATGACACATGTCTCTTCAGACACACACACGAGTCACAGGCGGCCACGTCCCCGAGGCGGGTCCACAGGCAGAGGAGCTGTGCAGGTCTCTTTCCTGGGCCCGCCTCAGCGGCTTTGTATCGCGGCTCAGGCAGGCCTGTGGGCTGAGGGCCGGCACCTCCCCAGCCTCAGTTTTCTCATCTGTCAAATGGAGCCAATAGTAATATGTCACAGGACTGTGAGGAGAAAATAAGAGCGTGGAAGGCCCCTGGGACAGTGCCCGGCATGAAGTAGGTGTGTGATAAATGCCACCTGTTCTGATTGTCTGCTAACATCATTCCACTGGCCTGAAGCAGTCATAGGCCGTTACGTCTCCAGGAATAGTCCTAACGCCCCATTTCATCGTCAGGTCCGTCTCCTCCACCTGCTGCCCACTTGGCTCCCCTGCTCTCCTGGCCATGCCTCTCCCACCTTTTCCAGGTGCCCTGTGGAATAGGCGCCCTTCAGAGCATCTTGAGCCATCACCTGTGAGCACCCCACCTGAGGAGTGGGGTCCCTTTGGGGTGGACAGGACCCTGGGCAAACCTTGAGTAGCTGTTGTGGGGAAACCCCAGCAGGTGAACCTGATGGGAGCCCTGGGCTTAGGGCGCTGGGGTAACAGACGCTGGCTGGGCTGTGCCCTTTGGTGGGACTAGAAGAACCCATTTTGATCAGCAATGCTCCACGTGCTGGCGGGTGCCCTGGGACTAGAGCAGCTGGGCTCCTGGCCTCCTGCCTCAGTCTGGGCTCTCAGCATGGCAGCTTCAGGGCAGCCAGACATTTTTTAAGTTGAGGTGAGATTCACATAACATAAAATCTGCCGTTTCAAGTGAACACTTCAGTGGCATTTAGTACATTTACAGTGTTGTACAAACAGCACCTCTATGTAGGTCCATAACATTATCACCCTTAATGGAAACCTTGTATCCATTGAGCCGTCAGGCCCCCAGCCCTGGTGATGACACAACTGCTCCATCTCTACGGATTTGCCTGTTCTGGACATTTCCTTTGAATGGAATCATATAACGTGTGGTCTTCTGTGTTCGGCTTCTTCGCTGAGCATCAAGTTCTCGAGGGTCAGCACGTTGCCGCGTGTGCTCCTTTTCCTTCTTCTGGAGGCTGAGCTGTGTG